CACTTCATCCACCCCCTTCCCTTCCTCTCCACCCTACCCCTGCACTCTCACACTTCATCCACCCCCTTCCCTTCCCCTTCACCCTACCCCTGCACTCACGCTTCTTGTTCTTTGGCTGGAATGCCTCCCTGTAATCTTCCGGGTCTCTGATGTCGGCGACAGACTCCGTGTCGTCGTTGTCATCTGCTGTCGACGTCTCCTCGTCCGTCTCAACTTTCACCTCGCTGCAGCGGAAAACAAGAGAACGGTCACATGGCCGTGCAATTCTCAGCGCGCAGAAGCATGTTGGGAGAAACAGGAGAACACGAGCGCGTCACACCATCTGAGATGCCTGACCCCAGAAGCAGAACACATACCAGCCAGATACGTGTGTGAAAAAGAGATATGGACTGAGTCTACCGTACCCCCCCCGTGATCCCCCGTCCCCCAGGAAATTTGGATTACTGCTTACTGTTCCATGCCATGAAGCCACACGATTAGCAGCGCACCAATCACAGCGCTTACGTGACACGACACCTTTTCGGTTCTTAGAACTATGGCGAGAGTTCAACGATACGAGATGCAACACAGGGCTGTCTATCTGTGGGTTCAGGACAGTGAGACTGAGTCACCTGTCCTTGTTGCTCTGGGTGGGCGGTCTACCAGTGTAGGACTTCCTATGATGAACGGTGGGTATTGCGATGGGCTTGCTCGTAGAGTTGAGGTCCAGTGGCGCCACCACATTGTTGTTCTCGGCAGCCGATGTCGGTGTGACGAAGGCCTGACTAGGCGCAAACGGGTGACAACGCTGGAACACAGAACATCCCACTGTAAGCTTCAATACATCCCCACTGTAGGGCCAGGGTACAGCAGATTCTATCATGAAAGCAAGGCGGGTAGTAAAACAGCATGAATGCAAGCTGCTATTGACATGTGTGTAATCAGGTTGTTTAGTACATGTATGTTTTGACGTTTATAAATCTCTTTTGTGTCATGTCTCTGTTAAAAATGTATTTTAAACAACATATTTTAGTTCATTACTAGTTGACTGAATCATTCATTAAATTTCATAACGAATCTTAACTCCAAAACTCACTTAACTTATATTAGAAACACATTTGAATGATTGATAAACAACTGATTGTAAACACTTGGTAAAATTTAGTTGCTTCTCATTGGTAATGTGCTTACCTTTACATCAACAACATAAACAAGAACATTTGTTTGATTGAATGAAGCACCAATCTGAAACAAAATGTAAAAGAAATTAAGTGGGAAGAACAATGTCATTCACACGCTCTTGGCAATAATTCACCATGACATACTGTAGGAGTTTCAGATTTTTATGTACGAAAAAACTGTTATATGTAAAAATGGAATAGCATGAATCTGTCATAGACAACAAGCTTTTGCCTCTTTCCACCACTACATCTATACTGCAGCACATGACAACTATTTAATTATATTCATTACTATAATTATAACTACATCAGAGCATAAATATTCATGACGTCAATGCTCGCATGGACAACAAACCTTATTAACTACCTTAACCACCTTATTAACTACCTTAACCACCTTATAAACCACTTATTAACCACCTTATTAAACGCCACCTTATTAACTACTATGATATACCAAACACATGAGGTGCATTACATTAAATAATTTGTCTAGCTATAATAAATCCCGGTCTCTGGTATTTGCCTAATGCCAGTGTGACACAGATGGCAGATCACGTTCTGTCAACACAGCTAAGCATACATGAAAACACGCACATTTTTGCTCAGCACACACCTACACAATAATGCACATGAGACTGCCCCCGTGTTTTCTTTCTAAATATTATATCAACATGCACATCACTGCCATTAAGCAATTGGCTGCCCAGATATAGTGTTACTGAGATAAGGGCATATATATATATATATATATATATATATATAATCTATATATATATATATATATTATATACAGAGAGAGAGAGAGAGAGAGAGAGAGAAAGATCATTATTTATTATGGCAATTCCTGGTAATTCACGGTAGTAAATTAAAATACAATATAATAGAAAGAGATGAATGACGTTAGCACAATTTCATTACAAGTTATTTTTATATTTTCCCGACTAATATAAAGTTGGGTGACACCTAACAAAACATCTGAAACAATACTCATTATGATGGAAGAACAATCATTTCAGAAAAAAATCGCTACACCTACACAACAAAGAATACACAGTTGTAGAGCCAGTGTCGACAATATATATATATATATGACTGGACGAACGTCAATAGCAGATGTATATATACAGCTTCCTATTGTGAGGCATTTTTCTATAAAGAATTTACATCATGTGCAACATCTACCCCCTGCTAGCAGCAATTTTAACAAGCAATGGTTGGTAGGGAGGCAGGCAGGCAGGCACATAGATACAGAGATGAGTTGGTACATAAGCTGCCACATGGGTACAAAGATGGGTTGGTGGGTGCTCAGTAACATTTTGCTATTCACTGTAGACATAGTATATATGCGATTACATGTAATTAACGTGTCTAAAGAGTTAAAACGCTTGTGAAATCACAGCGCATGGTCTCGAGAGTTCGACACTGCTACGACCAACAAGATTAAATCTAACCTAAACTTACAACCGCACCAGGGGGGGCACGCTAACGCACGAGGCAATGACTCGGTGCTCACCAGCTGGTTCTGAGCGATGGCAGCGTCAGCAACCTTGCCCCATCCCATCGCCAGCGAGTCGTAGCACCGCGCAGGCTCCCAGCCGTGCACCTTCAGCAGATCCTGCGAGCCGACAAACAGGCACTTTCCCTCCTGGTGGAAGAAGATCGTCCTAGAAACACAAACATATACGCGTGTGAGGCGATTCAGTGTCAAAGGCAGACTCGCTGAATAATGTGTAGACTGACTCTGCTAACACAACGAGAATCGACGTCTCGGGGAAGCAACCAAGGCTCAGCCACAGCTACTTCCAGAGTCTAAATTGATGCGTGATTTCACTCAGTGACATTCCCTGAATCTCTTCTATATCATGCAGCCAGTATTTACAGTGATACCACTTGGCTGTTGACACTGTGTGTGTGCATGTGTGCGAGTGCATGTGTCTGTGTGCGTGTGTGCAGGAGCGCATGTGTGTGAGATCCGTTATAACAACAATGGATTGCAAGCACTTCTTTGCAGGTGCTGTATCAGCAAATGGCAACCAAAATGTCATTTCCTGATTCGGGGTAGGCCTAATACTACAAATTGCTATCAACAGCGCGACAACTTTGCTTAATACATTGCACGATAAAAACTCAAAGTCAAAACATTCACACGTATATATGATGCAAGTATTCTAGTTCAAATATGAAAAAACTTAACATTGATCTAAAACCTTGAAGCCTATTATTATATGGCTTACAAACTGGTTTCTAATTGCCCTATATAATTTAAGAAAAGTGATCTGATCAGGTGATCATAGCTCATCCACTACAATATATTACGCTGCTTTAAATTTACCATTATATAACTTCTTGGACAGAACACATCAACAAGATAAGCAAGCACTAAACTATCATTATGTCTAGCCAACATCACATCCGCATGCTCTACTCATTTAAGATCTTCGACAATTTTTTTTAAAGAAAAACGCTCCTCAAGGGTATAGATCCAAGCGCGAGCATGGAGGAATGCATGCATCATTAATACGGCAATGCAATATTGTGCCAGGTACAGTGTAACACGATACTAAACCACCACGGCTGCACAATACCCAGCTTGCTTATTGATTACACACCAATAAAAGAATTAAGCTACCTGCGTCAAACCTATACGACTCGGAAGAAAAATTCCCTGCTTTGCAAAATTGACTGGTTTACGGACGACCGAGCAAAATTTCGCACAGCCGCTGAACATCAAATATTAAAAATACCATCAGCATTGCTATTTGAAGCACATACCCGACTGCGAGTACTGTCTTTTAAAAATATGACATTCTTCCCACCAATGTGCATGCTTGAGCTCTATACCTTGGAACACAACATGCTGTCTTAGTTATAAAGTTATCTTCACGAGGGCGGAATAATCGCGCAAACAATATCAGTAATTAAGCTATTAATATAATAGCAAGGTTTTCAGATGATCTCCTTTCTAGTCGCGCGCGTGCTAATAGGTTAATCGCGTGAGCAGCGCACGCACGTATATTGGCTCTACACTGCTGCCCACCGGAATGTATCACTGTCGAACACGCGTTGCTCTGGAAGAGACTTGTGACTTGCTCTAACTACCCCGCCTGGTACGCCGTTAACTACGCAATAGCGCACTAGATGTCGAGAGATCGCCTGCATTATTTAACGAGCAGTCGACTACTTTCATTAACAGTCTCTACTTAAAGTGTTGGCCGGCCACCGAATGCGCGGGAGCAGCATTTGATAAGTGCATCCCGGTGTGCGAGACAGGCTGGTGCCACGCAACACTGGACGTGTGATGCAAAGGCACTGTAGGCACTCCGTAACACATGGACTGATGCTGTGTCCCTGTAGCTTATCAAAACACCAATGTTACCCCTCGATCTCCAATCTCGGACAACTTTGATTATCTCAGTCTACAAAACTCCGTAGCTGCCCCATTGCATGGTTGCAAAAATGTTGTCGGAGACCAGAGGTTGAAGCTAACAGTAATTTTAGGTGCAAAAACTCTTCACGTTGCCTAAACGCACGCACGCACGCACGCACACACACACATCCTCCCCCCATCTTCCCTGTGCACAGACACAGCACACGCTACTAGTCGGAAGTCCCCTTACTAGACCATCGTATAGGCTGGCTAGGGGGTTGACAGTGAGGCCACCAGGCTTACCTGACAGGTGCAGAGTCACTATCTGTAGAACTAACCAGCTTGAATGTCTCCAGATCCCAAAATCTCACAGTTCTGCAAAAGAGAGAAGTGGTTCCGTTTAGGAGGCATCACCTAAGTACATACTGGCAAACATCTCGTGAAATCGTAATTAAACAAACCGGCCTTCACTACTTAAAAGCCATGTATTTGTGATTAATTGGGTAATCAATAGCACTTTAGTGACTCGATGTTGTACAATTGAATTAAACTGGTGATTTTTCAAGTAAAGAATGGCATCACACGGATATGTAACTGCATTACAGCCTGCAGTCTTTACAAATTGCAGACCAGCAACAGTTACAGAGGCATTCATCATGACTGCGATTCGGATCATTAATGTTGCAGACAGCCCACAAAAAAACCCTAATAGCATTGCTTGATGGTTTCATACGATAACAAGAATAATCACTTAATCACTTGATTCTGAAATATAAATAAGAGCCGCAGAGCGTCTGGGCTCATCTGAGGTCGGTTGCTACGGTTATAAACGTAACATTTAAGTCGTGCGTAGTGACACCTTTGTTCGGCGCAGATATGCAGATACGCAGTTGCGTACACATCATTTCAGAACTTCGTGCATTGCTGCATACATCCCAAGATCCCATTGTTGATACAAATCCGGTGCCTTGAAACCCTGTTTTATGCGTGGCATTGTGAACCCTAACCCTAGAGCTATTAAAAACAAGTGCCGGCCGAGAGCGACAGCGTCTCATCTACGTCTACTGCGGGTGACTCTGTGGTTAGAGTGTGATTCTCAGTAAACCCTGTCTAGTCCAAATTGTGATTCACATAACGCCGAAACAGTGGAAGGCTAGCGAGGATGGATCAGGAACCTTCTCAAACGAATGTTCGTTGGGACGTTATGGAAAGTTTGCACGAGATGGCGCTGTATGTTTAAGTTCTTCAGATTAAGATGGAAGTCCATCGCGAGGCGCCCGGGCTGGCCCGGCGGGGTGAGTTGCTAGCAACAACCTTTGCCAGACAGAATAGGTAGCATCTATCCAGTTACCTACGCAAGCCTAAGATTGAAATAGAGAGCTGCCACCTGTACTAATTAACTGCAGGCAAAACTACACGTAGTACCCACCACCACGGTCCACTTGGGCAGGTGTCCGCACTGGCAGTGTTCATACGTTACGATGTAACAGCTTTAGCTGGGGACATACAGAATGCCATGAGAGGATTGTGATGATCTCTGATGTGTTTAAGAGATAAACCTTCGTTCAACCAATTAGCTTTTGAAATTCACATGATGAACATTTAGCCTACGATACATCAGGCGATCGCGATGATTCTATAGCAACCCGGCCAGTCAAATTCAATTCTGAACAGTAAACAATATCCATGAACGCGCTAATCTTGAGGCGTCAAAAGGTTATCCGACACATACTCTTCGCATTCAGCAGAAAGTATTCATTGGTCCTTTTCTTTCAATAAAAGCCGCCGAATGGTGGGGTCATAATAATGCTAGGTCACCCGCTGAAACAAAAAATAGTTTTTCAAGGTTCGCTTTCAAAATCCCGGTCAGGGATCCATTCGCTGAGAAAATTTTAAAATCGTGCCTGTGAGGCCTAGTTACTCTGTTTGTTACCTGTGTTGACCTTCCAATTCTGGCCCACCGATTGATTTTCTTTTTCTGACCTTATTTGTGATCTTATTTAGTCGATCCGTTATCGTTATGTTCACCTTATTTCGCTTAGTGCGAGGCGTTCTAGATTGTGCCGGCAATCTCAGTGGGGCCTCCCTATACCTTAAAGGCGCATAAGATGGACCATTGAGTTAGCAATTTACGAATGCGTACAGTAACTGGCACCTTGTGTAGTCTAATAATGTACATATACCGTATAGCCAAACCGCCGTATTAGTTTGTCACATATCACCTGGCTGGTACTAAAGAATATCCAATTGAAATTCCTAGAAGGATCAAATAAATCGTGGTTGACAGTTTCAACCCCGCTACCGGCTATATACGGCCGAACCCGCGCGAGCTTGGTGTCATACGGTTATAGTGCACCGGACATTGTCGCACCGTATCTGGCCGTCAGTGATTTACGATCCTTGGTAGCTGAGTGCCCGCATGCGCCGTACGTTATGGTGTCTTTACTCTTGGATTACGGAATAAAAGAATATACGGAATTTCTTGAGATTCACACAACATATAATATTGTGGAAACTAGGCAAATAATTAAGCACTAGGCAAACAATGTACCCGGACAAAACAATTCGATCTTCAAACATCCTTAGCAACATGTGACGTCATCCGAACGGAAAAAATTTTTCCTTGTCCTCATTTTGTTTGGCAATAAAATTTAGCGTTGGCGCCAGCTATTAACAAAATTTACGCGATTCAATTAGACTATGTCTTATTTAGCAGTAGGATTAGTGGACAATACTAATACGCGTATTGGCTATAACTATGTACTTATTAACTACACAACGTGCCAGTTACTGTAGCATTCGTCAACTTGCATAATCGATGCGAAATATTATGCCTATTAACTTAGACGGAATGTATCCCCCTTCTTTTACACTCTTGACCTTTGACCTGTTGACCCCCCAGCTTTGACATCCCAACTCGCGTTTCGGATTATCCCCCCCCCCCACGTCCCGAAACATCTGTGACCGTACGTCTGATCGCGTTCAGATTTGTGCCCAATCTGTTGACGCACACGGACGGCACGGAGACGGACGATCATGCGATTTCTACAAGCTGCATCTGACTACGTCAGCATAAAGCTCAAAGTTAAAATAATTAATTGTTGCTAAAAACTATTTTGTTGTATAAAATTGTTCTAAAGTAAATCATGTATAATTTGCGTTAATTGAGAAAAATTTAGAGTAAATAAGATAAAGATAGAAAAATACAGAAACAGTAAAATAATACAAAAATCAGATGGGATTCCGATTCCAACGAGCCTGTTCAGCCGTGACGCTTAGTGCTGTACGCATTCGGCATCAGGCTTCATGAGTGCATGAATATGACAACACTGCTGACATCATTGAGCAGTTCAGGAATCCCATGTTTCAACCCTCCTCTTGAGGCGTCAAAAGTTATCAGAACACTTATCTCTTCTGCACCGGTCAGTGGACAAGCACATTTCATGGAATAAAGTGATAAAAATAGTAGTCAGCGCTGAAATTAAATATTTCTTTTACTCTGTGCATTAGACCATGTCATCAGAAAAATTTCGAACATCTACCTTCCCCCACTTGCCCTTTGACCTGTGACTCCAAGATCTCGCTCACTGCATGATGCGCGCGTTGCCTGCCCATCCACCACTATACACCGAATAGTAAGAGCAGTAGTCCGAGTGTTAGATTTGTGCGCAAATTTCCGTAATTTCCTCCTATACCTTAAGTTAGGGAAACCAGTCCCCCTCCATTTACACATCTTGACCTTTTACCCTTGGACCCCCAAATTGTATCTGAGTCCTTTTCACGATCACCCCCCCCCGACGTCCCGAATATCGTGACCGTACGTTGAGCGGTTAAGATTTGTGCCCAACTGTTGACGGACGCACGCACGCACGCACGATCATGCGATTCTACAAGCTGCATCTGACTACGTCAGATGAGCTAATTAAAAACTCGACACTCTTCTTATGATTTGCAACCCTGTCCTCTGGAAAACTTGTAGCAAATATCTCATGTTGACCACAAGTTCACAACACATACCCCTGCACTAACAGCAACCTAGAGGAGTTTATATTAGCATTTTTACCAGTACTATGATGGGGTTTCCAGTGAGGTAGACTTACGAGAATTATTTGATATCTAATGGAATACGCTCAGCAAAGCTTGCAGATGTTTGTGCTCAACACGTTAGATGGTCACATACGTTCTAGAGCAGTGGTTCTTAACCTTTTTGAGTCATGGACCCCTTTGGGAATCTAGTGAAAGCTACGGACCCTCCCCAGAAAAATGCACATAAAGACATGAACAATAATTTTTATGCACCTGGTTCACAAACCCCCTGAAGTCCATCCACGAACCCCAACGGGGTCCATGGACCACAGGTTAAGAACACCTGTTCTAGAGGAAGCTTACAATGTACAGTCGTCACTTTTAGGTCTCACTCATTCGCCTTTACTTTTCAGTATATTCACACAAAAATCGTATCTGTTATAACATGAATATAACTATACTTATAGAAGAGATATGTATAGATATATACTAAGATACGTTCATGGTTGTCGGTATAAACTGTTCACTCCGCCGTCCATACACTGCAATGTCTGTATACGCTATGGTTGTTAGTACCACATTTTTCTATCCACACATTGCAATGGCTGTACACGTTTACGTGTAGATATCCATATTAAAGCAGTACACGCATGAGCAATCATTTTCCAGTCAATAACCGTTGTTAGCTCTCGGGCAACAATAAATTTTGCCGCTTCTAGGTACAATGCGTGCTATAATGGTACTAAGTGTGCTAGCTATGAGAGGTCAGGCAGAATCGATCTAACACCCGTAGTAAGGCAAGCCCGTGCGTTGCGTGGAAAGTTAAACATTACCGCCCACATACATAAGACATCAATAGCTAATAATAATAATAAAAACGTAATATAAGCACCTAGACATCAATTGGCTTACTTGGGAGGGAGGACATTCCCTTACACAAGCATGAGATAGTTGCCCCAAGGAGAATGTATCTGTACGGATACGGAATTAATGTAAATCCACTTTAATTGTAAACTTTTTAATTTATAGCCAAAACCACTATGAACGTATGCTCGCTACAAGGGGTCGTGCATGTAAAATGTAAATATCATATTTATTGTATATAAACAAATTTATATTCACAGATACATATATACATATATACACCACCCATATAATTCACGATTGTATTTCTAGATAAATCGATATTTCTGCTTCATAAACCTCATTTAAAATACATAGGAGTCAAGGGGAAAAATCCCCTATGACACAGACTACACTCGTATGCCCTTCACTGGCTACAGCAGAATTACAGGCGCAGTCGGACAGGCAAGTGTGCCAGCGCGGGAGAGAGCCAGTTAGCGAACTTGGGTGGCTAGGCAACGGTTTATTATTTCCAAGCACGCATACCACGCTTACTTCCCGCAGCTCTCACGAAAACGAGGTTTGCTAGCTCCCGAACGGCTGCTACGACTGCGAGTGCTTGCCTAAAACAGGTGCGTTTTCCGAGCAAGTAAGGCTCATAGGGTCTATGTTCCCCCAGGGTACTGCCGGAACGTACGCTGGGTACGGTCCGCTATACTGGAACGTACCCTGGTAACTATCTGATATTGTTAGGGTTAGGGTTAGGGTTAGGGAGTAGGCGTAGGCGACTCCCTAGACTCGTTAGTGGAGTAGGCAAGGTACGGTCCGGCATATTAGATAGTACCAGCAGAGCATATAAATCACGTTGATTTATATGCTCTGGTACCAGGGTACGTTCCGGCAGTACCCTGGGGGACATAGACCCTCTCAGCGCAAGTAAGGTGGTGGCGGTGAGCGGACTTCACGATTGATTTTCCACGGTTCACCGACTTCAGCCGCACTAATTCATAACGTCCCTAGGGGCCATCAACGGTCGTCGGCGACCCCCCAACGACTCACGGAGTCCGTCTAGACTTCATCCTCGTTTATCATGTAACCGTCTATGCGCAATGCGTGATAAACCTCGTTTAACAGTTACACCCCGTCCAACGGAATTCCTTCCACCACAATGTACCTACAATGTAAGATACCTAGGTAAGACAGGGCATCTGTATTGCAGACATGCACGCTGGCAGATAGCTCTAGAAATATAGCCCTTCGCTCTGCCACAGGCCTCACTCCGCCACACTATAGCCCAGAGGCAGAGCGAAGAGCTATAGTTCTAGAGCTAGTTGGCGCTCATAGGGTTTATGTCCCCCAGGTTACTGCCGAAACGTACCCTGGGTACGGTTCGGTATACCAGAACGTACCCTGGTAACTATTTGATATGGTTAGGGTTAGGGTTAGGGTTAGGGTTAGGGTTAGGGTTAGGGTCAGGGTTAGGATTAGGGTTAGGGTTAGGGTTAGGGAGTAGGCGTAGGCGACTCCCTAGACTCGTTAGTGGAGTAGGCGAGGTACGGTCCGGCATATTAGATAGTACCAGGGTACGTTCCGGTATACCGGACCGTACCCAGAGTACGTTCCGGCAGTACCCTGGGGGACATAGACCCTCTCAGCCTAGCTGGCAGACTGCATGGGAAAACCCGAGCGCGAGATTTTCCGTAACTGATAGCTGCGGTGCGCATGTTTTCGGCCGAGTAGTGTGTTCCCTCGTATTTACTACACTCTGCTCTCGAATAGCCGATTAGTGGTTGACGACAGCTGTGTTTAGCGAGAAGTTTTTCTGTACATTTGCGGAAGAAAATGGATCAAAGTCCAACTACCCGGCATCCTGGAAACGTGCTACTATAAGATGAAACAGTAAAGAAAAAAGGGGGAAATATAGAGGAAGGTCACGATAAGAGTGAGAAAAAATGAAAAAGATCCGGAGTGCAGGATAGGAATAGAGGGCGAGAGAGGAAATGAAGGGAGAAATAGTAACGAAGATAACGACAGACAGAAATAAAGCAACCGAGAGAGAGGGAGGGGGCGTGAGAGAGGGTGAGAGAGGGGAGGAGAGAGGGAGAAGGAGCGGGAGATAGAGAAAAAGCAAATTCGATCACAAACCCAAACAGCTGCACCCCCATTTTCGCCATACTCTCACGCACCACATTTTACCACACAGAGCAGAGGTGGGGGTGTTCTTCCATCCAAAAACATTCATTTACCGTCAGTTGGCCAGGATTAGCAGCAGTGTACTGTACATCTTTCTATCAGCTTTTCAAAAGATTTCCTGCTACCATGACGCACCAATGTCAACAATCTTGTAAGCTAGGACTGGGGAAAAACATCGCGTTGCGTTAAGTGTTGGTTTTGTGCTTGCATAAAACCGCACCTGTCCTCATGCTTTACTCTGGGCACAGGTCGAATGAAAGGGCTGATAACGGTACATCTTAGAACCAACCTGCATGCCCCACTATCACCTATATCAAGGGGTGAATAATAATGACAAACTTGTGATTACTCACCCCTGCCTATTATGTTATCTTGTTCAGGCACGGTCTGCATATGTGCAGGAATCATGTGTTACATCACATACAGCAAAACGTAAGCTGTATCCCACAGCTCACAAACTAAACTCGAAACACACAAACACGTATGGATTTGGTGACATTGGTATTCTTTTCCTGAGGCAATACATCTAAGAAAGATCTTAGTGTGATCAGCCACGAACTAGGAAATGCAACCAGGTGTAGCCTAAGGCATTGCGTACAGAATTTACTGAATACCACCCCTTAATAGTTATAATAACTGCCCGGGCTGTATCCAGCCTGTGGTCAAGCTGTGACCAGTGTCTGGCCAATCTGGGATAACAACCTGTATGACGCCAGACTAAAGGCAAGGTGCAGCCACAGACACGGTTGGCTAAAAATCAATAAGCGACCATTCGGCAGGTCATTCATTCTAAACGCTTTTTCAAGCTGTCAAGTGGTCCCGTCCACAAGCACCGCAACCAAATTGGCGTTGAGCTAATGAATTCAGAAACAGAACTACAGTGATGGTTTATGATTAATTGATTAGGGTACCTAGTTCAAACACACAACTTCTGAAAACCACGAAATGGTGGTCAAGAGACAAATTCGCTATGTTCGAATATATATTCGACTATATTCGCGTGAATAAATTGATTTCACTGAGCATTGGTGGCCGTCAATAGTACAGCGGCCATGGCATATGACCATAGCAAACACTTGCACTAATCAATCTAATCACATCGTGCAACATTCATCACAACATTGGCAGTGTAGTTACTTTCTAGACACATGAAGGTATTACGGTGGAAAATCAGCCAATAAGCACTGGGACAGGTCAAGAATGTGATTGTTCTGCGGCGTATCCGTGCACTTGAATTTTTTATTCCTCGATGGAAAGGGTTAGAGCTTTTTGTAATTGTTAATTTCAGAAACTAGAATCCTTGTTGAATCTGACAGTATCAGGGTTCATAGTAGCAAGACACATGTTGAAATAAGGACTTATAAGACCCTTTCTGGAGGCCAAAATAAGACTTTTTACGCGATTTCTGATAGATCACCGACTATTAAAGTACACTAATAATATTTATATATACAATTGCACAGCAGATTTCGCCGAAATTCAACACAGAAAATGTTGAAAAATGGTCCTTTATGTAATAAGGACTATTAAGTACTTTTCTAAGATTTCACCAAAAATAATTATTAATAAGGGCCCTTATTTTATTTTTGGCAAAATAAGTACTTATAAGACTTTGAAAGACCCGCTACGAACCCTGAGTATGAATGGCTTGTCCGGTCTGCACTATTGGGGCTGCCGGGGATTTTTGCAAAGGAAGCCTACTTCTTCGCGTAAAATCTCATTGCAAAGTGGCCATTTCACGTGTGTGCCGGTAAAAGCTTGTCTACAGAAAAAATAATGGAAGAATTAACGTTAGAGTTAAAAATTAGAGTTAACAACATATAATGTGTCACTTACAATGTCAATTCAGAGGGTGGCAATGCGATTTCTCAAAAAAGCTTCTGCTGATTTATGGGAATTTTTTCGTATGTAAGGACGCCGATGCGAAATGATTTCCCACCATAATACCTGGAAATGAATCAGAGAACCATACGACTCGCGACTAATGAGAATCTCAACAATGCAGCTGTCGTGTGAGATTACCAGCGGTTCCACACATACAGGGTCAACCAACAATCAATACTATGAATAGAGAGTGCCATGCCGCTGCTACCCACCCTGACATTACCCAGGTGCACGTGTTTTCTCTTACACATACGCACCATTTCATTTTGCGCAGACCCTTAACATATGAAACTGTGCGTACGTACACCTGTACGTGTGTGAGTGTGTGAGTGTGTGCGTGCGTGTGTATATGTGGATGCATGTAGGTGGAGAAAGGATATTAGGGTTAATTACTCAATGCAAATACCTACACCTTCTGTACTAACAACCATCTCACACAGGATGTTTTTAACTATGCTCACTGCATAAATAGACTGGTTACATGGTACAACTACCAGAGTGCCACACAAAATCCCAGGAAATATAAAGCTGTAACAACTGCTTAGGAAGTAATCCCCCCCCCCACTACAGGGTTAACTACTTGACAGACATAACTACTTGACTGACATAACTACTTGACTGACATAACTACTTGACTGACATAACTACTTGACTGACATAACTACTTGACTGACATAACTACTTGATGCACTACTCCGCATTAGAGTTAACTACTTGATGTAAATACTTCAGTCACTTACACCTTCTGTACTAACAACTACTGGTTACTGGTACAACTACCAGAGTGCCACACAAAATCCCAGGAAAAATAAAGCTGTAACAACTGCTTAGGAAGTAATTCTCCCACTACACGCACACGCACGCACGCGCACGCACGCACGCACAGGCACAGGCACGCACGCACGCACGCACGCACGCACGCACGCACGCACGCACGCACACACGTACGCACCACTGCTGCAGTGGCAGTTGCTGCTGGCCATTCCAGTAGTCGTGTACTAAACTCACCTGTCAGCGCTGCCAGACGCAAGCAGGAACTCATTCGGATGGAACTCGACACAGTTAATGGCAGCCGTGTGCGCGCGGAAGTCGGTGAGCAGCTTTCCCGCTGTCAAGTCCCACAACTAACGAGGAGAGAAAGAGAGAGAGAGAGAGAGCACAACGGTGAGAGAAGAAGCTTCTTCGTCTCTAGAAGCTCCCACAAAAATGCAGCTCCGGTGTGTTCACGCAACGTCATGCAAACTTCACATCCCAACCAAGCTGAGCCTTGTTTGCTGCTCCGCCAATATCGCACACACACAGGGAGGGCGGTTCTACAATACTACTGAGATTTATAGACGTGTCAATAACTTGCAAGTATTGGTATATGCATATGAATGTAGCCACACCTTGACTAGGCTATCTTCGCCTGCAGATGCGAGCCAGCGTCCATCGGGGCTGAATCTCAAGCAGTTGACTGAATCAGTGTGGCCCTGATAACAAAATGTTCAATGCCTCAGACTCCTAACAGAGAGAATAAGATTTAGCACTACTGAACTTATGATACTATTTGAACCAGTTGTAATAGTTGTTCTGAACCTATCTAAATTCGATATCATCACTGTGAAAGCTTTAAAATGGCCATGTTTACATAACTTATTATCTAGCTAAGCAGCAACAAATACCATTCACCGTACCTACCTTATAAGTAAATATGCAGCCCTTCCGTCGTATGTCCCAAAGCTAAACATATTGAAACAAATATTATAGAATAATATATATCAATGATTTGATGGTACAGTGGTATTGCAATCAGAGTACAGACAGTAAGTTTTTCATCAAGAACTATCAGTCACTTGAACCAGTTTTGAAGTCACATGAATATGATTTCTCCAAGCCTGACCAAAAGGTCAGTCATTTAATTTTGCAATTTGCAAGAAAGTAGGATCTAGACACTATATATGCATACATGTTGATAATAGTTTACCTTGACATTTGTGTCTAAAGATCCTGATGCCACAAAATCTCCAAATGGATGAAAGTCCAGGCTCCGTATGTTAGCTTTGTGTCCCGTCAGTGTCCGCACAACTAACGAAAAAGGGGTATTATTAAAACCAAGGTCTATAATGAGTTTTTGCCAGTACTATATGATCAGCTTGGCATAAAACATTTAAACAGAACACACATCACGACATGGCACTGTGGTGTTCTCAGGCACTCCCAGTCTCACGTTTTCAAGTTCTGCCAATACATGTAAGTTCCAGTGGATTATATGTTATTATGTGCAAAAAACATTGATCTGCATGTGCCCCGTCCCAAAAAAGCATTGTTAAACATAGCAACATGTTCTAAGAGCTGACGCTTACAAGCAGCATTCCCAACGTTACCAAATTTTAAAACATTGACGCTTTTAGTGAAAATACTGAACAAGGTATTTTTGATAAAATAATGGAACTATAAGTATAATACTAATAGCCTTATGAAAATTTGAAGCCCAACTGTAAAAATAGGGTAAATTTAATTGTAAATTTTAATCTCGATTGCAAATGTGTCTGATAATTGCAATCAAACCCAGCTGGCCTACATAAAACTCTGACATGACAATGATGACACTTACTTTTAGCTGCCTCTAGGTCCCAGATCTTCAGGGCACCAGACATGGACCCAGCAATGACCATGCTGTCATCAGTACCACCAAACCGCACTGCCTCCACGGGTGTGGTATGTCCAGACAAACTCTAAATATATGGTTCAGTAAATGTCTATCAGAAGCTATGACAGCTTTGATAATAACCGTGAGTCTTATTACACGACATTGCAAAACCAATGAGTGCATTTGAATCACTACTAGTTATACGCATAAAACAAATTTATTATGCAACACAAGGCACCCCTGGCAAAGTTACTTTGGGCCTAAATTATTGACTGGTTGATGGTTGATTGGTGGTGCATGTACTTGATATAAAGCATATACTGGTAATGCCAATTATTTCTATCACCTTACAAAAGACAGTCTGGCACTATAAAGCATATTACTTAGTTTAAGCTTACCATTATGCATGTTGGCTTGCCCACAAGCCAAAGATTTACTTTTTTATCATCACCACCTGAGACGATCACACGACCTGACTTGTGACCGAGTGCCAGGCAGTTCACATTGCCTGCATGTGCTACATATTCCTCTGCAATATAGGCAATTATTGTGTTAACAGTATCACTTATGTAATCACATAAACACAAACTGGCATATCTTCCACAACTAGTTTTGGTTAAATCAGGCTTCAATTATTAATGAATGAATTTAATTACTAAGTAACATCTTTGGTCGATCAATATTAATTAGACTCAAATAAACTATATTTACTAACATCACTGCTTTGTGTTGCTCTCCCTGTAATGACATATATATATATATGCATTTTTGATATTTAGTTTTTTACACATAAGTGCTCATGAATATATATAGCACTAACCTAGTTTGGTAATCGTACAAAAATGAAACTGAAAGTGCAAGCTATCATGTTAAGGTCACCATAAAGGCATAAACCATAATCACCATAAAAGATTGCATAAGAAACAAAATCAACAATAACAAATATAGACATTTTTAAGGTACGTTTTAGTTGTTTTTCACAGATGTTATTATACAGGACCAAAACTATTAGACATATAAATCTTTTTTAACTGAAAATAATGTAAATGTTGGAATAAAGCTAGCTTATCATCACTTGCATATTAAAATAAAGACAGTATATTCCACCATATTTCCTTAGTAGCACTACATGGATTTACAACAAATGAAGTGTGCACCGGAACTTGGATCCGGCCAGAACTATCCGGCCAGATCCACAATTTTCTAGAGTTCCGGTTCCGGCCGGAACCCTTCAGGAACAGTCGGCCGGAACCGGAACTTTTTCCTAATTTCATTTCTGCTACAAGCGTCATCAAGATCAAAAGATCAGTCACTGAATGTAGTTGAGAGTTAATAGAATCAACTTGCTGACAATATAGTGTTAACAACTTCACACTTTTCTGCCCAAAAAACGCTTGCCATTTAAACATCGGCTAACTAACTGAACTAAACCTAACTGATGTTAGGCGATTCACGAGATTTTCTTTTAAAATCAAATACTCTTCAGGCTTCTCCCTACGTTGCGCAAACCGGGCGCGCCCGCCCTGTTTGGGAAAATCCCCCCCCCCCGTTTCAATCGTTGCGCCACGTTTAAATTATTTCCGCCCCAATAAAAAAAAAAAATTGGGAAATGACTACATGAGGAACAGGCTGAGTGAGTCAGCTTTGGAGGCGTTGCTGCTACTGGCAATTGAGGAGCCACCTCGGCAAGAATTCTCATTCGACCCACTGGCAGCAAGAACAAGTCCGCACCTGCAGCTCAGGGCTCGAATTAACCGACGGCACCGACGGCAATTGCAGTCGGTGCCCCTATCAATCGCCGTACTGCCCCTGAAAATCCAACCTGACCGACGGCAGTCACCTGCCTTACCCTTTTGTGTAATTGCCGTCCGTGCCCTTTAATATACTGCCCTAGTTTCGTTTTTAGTCGAGTCAACATAACACGTGCGCGTGCGTGCTGTAGTTGCAATGATGAGTTTAAAACCGATAGTCGCAGGAGGGAATAATAACATAATTATTCGCTCCTGATAACGGGCATGTAAAATTTCCTGTTACTGTACTTCCATTAGCAGAGGGGGGTACAGGCGTCGATGTTACAGTGTAAGCTTACATGGGGGCATATTGTTTTGTACATTAAAAGCAAGACGATGTTGATGTACTAATTTGTTATGAGTTTTCCTTTATTTTACAAAAGTGCCTTTGTGCCCTTCTCAAATTTTGAGAGTTGCCTTGGTGCCTTGTATAATTGCCTCTGTGCCCTTCCATTTTAGAGAAAATTCAAGGCAATTTCCCACATGCCTTAAAAAAATTGCCTTGCCCTTCTCGTCGCTTAATTCGAGCCCTGCTGCAGCTACAGCACACACGCATCTATTGACTATATATAACAACGTTATATATAGTTGTTATAGTAGTTATAGTTGTTACAGTAGCTATAGTTGTTATAGTAGTTATATATAACTATATATAATGTTGTTATATATAGTCAATAGATGCGTGTGTTGTAGCTGCAGGTGCGGACTTGTTCTTGCTGCCAGTGATTCGACCAGGCCCCCGGACCCCCATAGTTTCCCCTCCCCCTCCCCTCCCCCCTCCCCCCCTGTTTCAATTTCATCCTGGGGAGAACCCTGCTCTTAAAGCCACAGAAATGGTATCTCTCTGTTAGTTGAAAATAACCGATCAAAACCAGGATACTGCAACATGCAGATTTTGCCACAGAATTCGCTTGCAAATAAGATCCCAGAATTATGCACTGTAAGCAGCTGATTCATACACAGGTCTAACAACCATCCTGTAATTAAAACTTTGAGCATTGTCCTACTTGTCTGAGTGATGTGCCATTGTGCCTGCTAATAATATTTCGTTCAGGCCAAGTGAGTTTGCGCAATACTGGGCCAAAATTGTCAAGTTTATTCCCAGCTTAAGTTCCGGTTCCGGCCAGGTAGTTCCGGCCAGAACTTTTTTCAAGTTCCGGCTGGTTCCGGTTCCGGCCGGAACTTAAAAAAATGGATCCGGTGCACCCCTATAAGTTACTTATAGATTAGAACAATAACATCGACATTTTGACTGTTACCAGCAATTAGAATATCTGCAATTAGAATCGCAACAACAATTTCTAAAAATATGCTTTTAGCCCGCACATGCACACGCATGTGCACATGTATGCACTATGAACACACAATGAGAGAGGGGCAATAATTCACAGCTGCGAGGAGTGTGGTGAGTGGGATAAATGGGTACACTACGTGACTCAGTAGTACTTACAGTACACTAGGCAAGTTAGGTAAATCGGTTTTAGCTAGGTTAGGCGCTTATCTGAGGTAAATTAAGATTTGGATACAGTAGTCAGTACCATTTGTACAGCTACAAGTGCACACACCAAGGGCACCAAAATTACATTACTGGCACTGCCACTGGCACTGCCACTGGCACTACTAGTAAACAGGCTCTCGGAACATGTCAATCATAAAATGATGGTAAATAAACATGAAATGTATTTAATACCAAAGTTTTAATGTTTCTCAACTATGTATCGCCTATATTACTAATAATTTCCTGTAAATGTCGTTCAAATGCTCCTCTGCAACACACAAGTACACACTGCTGTGCACAAACAACAAAATTAGAGAGCAGGTGGGAAATCGTGAGCGAAAAATTCGCATGACGCTCGCTTCGTTTCACACAATCACAGCACAAATACACAATTAACAGTCTCCATTATGCGTAGGTAAACGTTCACTTGTTCAAAATTTTATTTTGCCAACCGGTACTGCACACTTTACCAAGAGATAACTAATAAAATTCCCGAGAAAAACTCCCACTCCGTCAAAATGTAAAAGGGAGCAAGTACATAAGTAATGGCGCTGCATTGCATTCTGGGTTCAAGCGTCCCTGCTTCCGAACTCCATTTCGAGGCCTACAAGATCAAGCTAGCATGTGTGTGGGAATCACGCCACACACGCTAGGTTCATTGGCCAAAACGATCGAGTAGCGCGATTACGGAGTGTCGGATGATTAACAAGCACTTACTTCAATTTACATTTTAGCCAAGTGGGAGTTTTCCGCATTAATTTACCAGATATCTAAGCAAAGTGTGCCATACCAGTTGACAAAATTAAATTTCGAACAAGTAAACATTTAGCTACACATAGGTACCAGAATGCAGGCTGTTAGTTTTGTATTTGTGCTGTGATTGTGTGAAACGAAGCGAGCGTCGTGCGAATTTCTCAGTCATGTTATCTCACCTGCTCTATAATTTTGCTGTTTCAATGTTTGAGTCCAGCAGCGTGCATACGGTGTACTTACGAGTTATGTGTTGCAGAGGAGCATTTGAATGGCATTTACAGGAAATTATCAGTAATAACAAGCGAAAGAGAGTAGAGAAATATTAAGACTTTGGTAGTAAATATATTTCGTGTTTATTTACCATCATTTTATTATTGAAACGTAACAAACGTTCCAATTAACTTATTAAGTCACAAAGGTGCAAATCCACTTTAGGCACCTTAGGTATCACGAAGTGATGCACAGATTTCTGTGTATCATCAACTGATGCACAGACTTTCCGTATATCAAGGAATGATGCAAAAACCCCAACCCTAACCCTAACCACTGTAACCAGTAACCCTAACCTAAACCGACCAGGCTCTCCGACTGTTACACGTCGTAGGAGCCTGACACCCTTCCATACGAAATGCCTGTAGCTAGCTTAAAACAAACTCGCAGATTTCGTAAAATTTCCGTAAATAAAATAATGCAGTTATCACATTTGACCTCACCTGTTACATGTTTGCAACTATCGCATCACTTCTTAATTACTATTTCACTCGAAATACACGTCTAATAAGAGAATTTCGAACAGCATTCATACTATTTGAACGTTTTAAAACGCCATACTGGGATGCTTTATGCTCTTTTTGTACTGTTTTGCCATGTATATTTTCGTTACGTATAATGGGATATCTATGGGAAAATGGCGGTGTTTTTTTTAGTTTTATCTTATCAATTTATAAATAATTACTCGGCTGACACGTAAATACATGCTTAGTAGTAGCGCACATATAATAAATTGAGGCGTGGAAGTACAGAGAAAGCGGTAACAATCATAAAAAGTCATAATTTTACGTTTAATAGCAGGCGCACGTCATGACCGAACAATATTCTAATGCGTCGGCTGTGACCTCTCGCCAACGTAGTGTTAAGCGAGAAGGGAACTTGTGGCTAACCCTAACCTTAACACACACTGTGACACAGTGTCACCCTTCGTGATACCTAAGCCTGGCTAAGGTTATACTTTATGACTTAGGGTTAGGGTTAGGGTTTTTGCATCATTCCTTGATATACGGAAAGTCTGTGCATCAGTTGATGATACCCAGAAATCTGTGCATCACTTCGTGATACTTAAGGCTAAGGCTAAGGTGCCTAGTATTAGTAGTAAGTGGATTTGCGCCAGTCACAAATGCCAGTCAGTGCCGTGGTTACAGGCCATAGTACTTACGAAGTTTCCAAGCACGTTTTGTGCCGGTCCTCGGCATAGACATTGTGAATGTCAAAGGAGGTACGAATAGTGTGAACCATCAGCTATAGCCGAGAGGCATGGCGTCTTCCTGATAATTTATAATCTTTTAGAAGACACCGGAGAAGTCCCGAGGCAGTAACAGATATCATTGCCGATCATTGCCAGGTATTCAACTTGAAACTTGAATACTGTCTGTGGCACGGACAACCACAGTTTCACGCTAACCATTAAGCGGGGAATCCGCTATATTTTCATGAACATATCAATCAGCAACAAAATCTTTTAAATTTGTGATAAATAATAAAATTAAATAGTAATGTTTACTGTATCACAAAATTCAAAGAAGTTAGCTTCCTCGTTCCATGTTCCTAGTTCGCCTTTTCATTGGCGCGGAATTCTCGTACATATCGGATAGTGTGTATTTCTAGCTTTTTTAGTACAAGCAATTTTGATAAAGATTTTGTAGTCATATAAAAATAAATCATAGTATACACATATATATAATATTACTCTTATAAAACAATACTTTAAAATGTTATTATTATAAAAATAACTTTTAAAAGGCTTTATTTATACATCCATTACATTCTTTCGTCCAAACTAAAAGTACGTCATGTTTCCATACAGCTTTAGACTTCAAAAAGTATACGGCTCAATATTAATCAAGACCAGTAATATTAATAAATATTTAAATATTTATTTTATAAGTAATATAATGCACTGATAGGAATAAATTTACTATTATTAGAAACTAGGCCATAATTTTCTGGAAATCCGGTTCCAGTTACAGTATTATGGAGGTCGAAGGGCGAAAACGTGTGTGGAGAATCATGTCAGACGTTGTGAAGGTCCCGATTTAGCTTGTTATTGTTATTGTAGAAGAACGACGGTCATGATTTCTTTAAAAACGGTCAGAAAGCATTATGCCAGCGAGCTTTTCTCTGGCAGAATCTTCAAGCGTGTCATTTACGTGCAGGGTCAAAGCCCAGACCCAAAAACAAGAGAATACTTTTATTACATCGATCACCAGGGTCAGGTATGGACTATTACAGTATTACTATTACTAGTATTAGTATTAGTATTATAATATTATAGATATATCATCTAATCTATGGTTGCTGCCTCATTTTCTTTTTCACTTTCTTTATCTAGTACTACTACTAGTAGTAGTACTAGAGAAGTAGGTCATGAAGATTTCACTCGGTTCTCTAAAAATATGCATGTCGACGGCGATCAGCATGCCTCTAATACTAGCATTAGTTTACTACTACTAGATCAAGTAATACACCAATGGCAATACTAGTATTTTGGTGTACTGTGTTACACAGTACACTCAGGCGCGGATTTAGGCCGGTTTGCACCGGTTTCCAGAAACCGGTCACAGGCCTCAAAATTCACCAGAATGCACCAAATATAGCCTAATTTTTAAAAAATTCCCGGGGAGGCATTCCCCCAGACCCCCCAGCTGCAGAAGAACATATGGAAACTGGTCACCCGAACCCTCTGGATCCGCCCCTGACACTGTACAGACAGACTCAGAGTGACACAGTCTCACAGAGCCTGAGGCATAGCCACACGTACTACCATACAAGTTATAATGTTTAAAATAATTTATGTACTATATATAGCATATTGCTAGCTATTCCACGTGTGTGCGGTTAAGATCGATACTCTTCTACAAGTACAAGTTGGTCTAACCACGATGTACACCACTGCACAAACTATCAAAAATATTAAGTTTGGTGGGAAATCAGTGCCAAATTCTCAAACTGCTCGCTTTGTTTTAAACTATTAGAATAGGAGCACATCATCAATTGCTTACATCTTGCTATCTGCACGTGCATATAGGCAATTGTTTATATTTACAAATTATTACCCTTTCATTTGGGTAGAACTTGATTACACAAAGAGATAGAAAAATCTTGTGATAAAATCTACACTATAGAAATGTAAATAAACTTATTTAATTGCTAGTTACCATCTGAAAATCACTGTCAGTGCTACTAAATTTTGTGGCCAATTGTAGCTGTGTGTATGGCACCATTTTTATGCAAGTCCCACTGACTGGTATGGGGAGCTGAGTGACGGTGCTTCTCTTGGATGGAAGCTGGGCACAGTTATACCAGAATGCAGTGCACCACTATAATACTCATACTAACCAATAATTGCTTCTGTTTCATTGCCAGAAATTTTAAACTTTTCGCAGGATTTTACTAGATTTCTCTATGTTATTAAGTTATGCCCGAGTGTAAGGGTGATAATTAGAACAAGTGTATACTTGGCTGTGAACAGATATTAAGATCAAGGTGATTGGTTGTGTATTTGTACTGTGCTAGTTCGAAATGAAGTGAGCAGTTTGTGAATTTGACGCTTACGCTTTCACACCTCTAGATTGGTGTGAATGTACCTTTTCATCTTAGGTTTAGATGGAATGTTGCTTAAAATTAAATGGTTTAAAAGTTATTGTTTGCTTTTTATCTCTAGTTATTCTTGGATGATACAAAGATCAAGAATTTTACTTCATGCTTTAAAGGTATGATAACAATTGTAAAGATGTGTTTGTTCATATAATAAATTATTGAACTGTAGTAGGCATTGAAAGTAAGAAAGTCTGCTGCTTCTCTTTCTGAAAAGTGACAGCTAAAATCTAATGTTTTTTGGGTAAAATGATTTACAAGTTGCATAACAGCTGAATTGCTGCATCTGAATTGCTGCATCTGAATGGGCTTATATTTGCCAAATTTTCTACTGGCGAAAGTGCATAGTTTCTAACAGTACATAGACGATCACTACATGTTCATTATGTATAATATTGGTCTGATTTGATTAACCTATAAAAAAGCCACTACATATTTGCATATAAATTTAATTGAAAGCAATGGCAATATGCCAATAATCCTGTAAACCAAATGTGTACTGTGACTACTGTGTGAGTGCTGTGAACAAGGTAGTTGCTTGTTTATGGCAGTTTATGAAACCCAATAGTTCTCATGTAAAAAAATGTATAGAATTTAGAAAGAAAACAGTAATTTTGTAACTAGCTGTATTGTTCATATATAGGTGGTAGTTTCTGTAAATGTTAGAAAAAATCTAGAATGCACTGGCTGAATTTGCAGGTCCCGTTTTAAAATCTATTCCAGAAGCAGCACTGCCACAGCATTTACCACTTTTTCTCTCCCTTCCTTACAGACAAGGCGTTCCTGTCCTTCTTCTTCAAACGACTGCGGCTGAACACGACAGAGCGCTACCGGGAATTCCCTTACCTCTCGCTCTGTGGCCGAGAGCGCAACTTTGTGCACTGCGACGATCGGCCGATCGTCTACACGCAAATTGTTGAGAAGCGGAGCGTCGACGGCGCCACGGCGCACCTGCTCATCTACAATAACGGCGGGCCGACGATGTCGGTCGAGTTTGAGCCGCAGAAGCTGTGCATGCTGCCGAGGAGCGGGCGGGTGTACTACCCCGCTCGTGGCAAAGTCGGAGACATCGGGCTCGTGCGCTCGGGCCTCGCCATCGAGTTCAGCCAGCATTTTGAGTTTCACGGGCCGGGCGGCGACCAAGCCCCGCCGACGCACTTCAACTGGAAGGGACGTCGTTACGTGCTGACTAACGAGGTCGCGCCGATGGTTGAAGACGACAGCTGAGGTGACCTGTCGCGCGGTCGTTTTCCTCTAGAGCTCTGCAGAACTAACGTGCTGCTTTTGAGTATAGTAAGTAAATCTGTTTTGTCTTATATATAATAAACTACGTTTGCTACGTGTGTTTGCATGCTGTTTGTTGTGTAAATAGCCAGCTAAGTGATCAGCAAAAAATTTGCGTTTGTGATATTTCCAGATAATAGACTAGTATCTGGCTTGCTAGTTTTTTTGTAGCACTCATGATACATCTCTTCTGGCATGATATGTAGATATTTATTAAATCACCTCTTGCCAACCCATGCTTAGTAAAGCGTTGTACCTCACCACTGTTGTGCTAGAACACCATCTGGCATCTGCTAATAGCTTACAGGGTTCTGTCCAGGATTTTTTAGTGCCGGGCGCATCCAGGATGCAAGCACCGTAGGCGCGAAGCCAATCTAGGGGGGTTAGGGGGCACACCCTTGGAAAATTTTTCATTTTTGATAGTCTTAAACTCAATTTCCTGGATTATGAGCAATAAAAAGCCCATATATTAGACTTTTTTATTTCTTTTTTTTCTCAAAAATTAGTGCCGGGCGGAGATATATAGTGACGGGCGGCAACCGCGAGTGCCGGGCACACCCGCCCACCGCCGCCCACCGTGGGCAGAACCCTGGCTTATTGTTGTATATAATATGCAAATGTGTACAGATTAAAATTAGTAATATATCACGAGCAATCAAAGATACAATCAAATACCATATCAAAGGTATGCACATGGTTTTTGTTATATTATTAATATGTATCTATCCTACCTCTGATCTCTAACACAATGAGCCATCATGAGACATTTAATTTATATGTAATCAACTCATTTCGAATCTGAACAGATACACAAACCAGCTTGTTCCCTAGTATTATGCATGTATTATATATATATGTATATGTACTGCACAGAGTATAGAGCACATAGCAGGTGTTTCTCTGTTATATATATGAAAAAGCTTTGAGAGTGAGTATGTATACGCGAGCATGGTTATAAGCTATCGAAAATCTACTCGGTCATTAATCTGTGTATCATTAAATGCAATGAATACCAAATGTTTCAGTACACTATATTTATATCAATTTGCAATAAAGGTGTTGTCTGTTGTTACATGCCGTTTAATATTATTTATGTTTTTTTGCACCTTTGTAACTTCATTTAAATAAATTAAATGAGCTAAATTGTACAACAATAAACGGTTGATGTAGCCAGACAGACACGTAAGAATTTTGTCAGCCTGTGATAGAATATGTGAGCTAATTACTTGTGTCAATAAATTAATCTTTACATAATTCTGGCTATTATATATACAACTGGTGTGCTAATAACTAATTACCGTGAGATTGTATAGCGAGGTCAACGTTATGCAATCAGAGCCTGGGTGCACGCGTAAGGTCATGACGCACTGCTTGCAGCAACAACAACCAACCCTAACTTTCAACGTCAGCGTACCACAACCTGCCCCAGCCACATTGCAGGTGTTAACGAATGGCATTAGGTCAGAGTTTGTCTCTTTTTATTGCAAGAAAATTACTTCTAAAATTAACTTGCATTACTTTCACACATGATTGAATGTCTTTCTGCAACTTGATATTTTTTACCTTACAAGTTACAACCTCATAAAGATTAGTATTCGGAGTCCAAGGAACTATATAAAATATAGAGAGAGACAAAGTTGATCAAATATACAGTCTTACAGATTAACAATACAGATCGCAGTAGAAGAAAGCTTCAAATTTGCAATTAGCCAAAGACGAAGGTGGAGAATTCCAATTTTTTATGTACAACAGTTATTTATACAAGTCCTAAGTATATATAACCTGATAATCTCATAAATGTTAGTCTTCAAAAGTCCTAGGGGAACGAAGATGGAGAGAGAAGTGGATCAAATGGCAATAGATCAACACTGCGGATCGCAGTGGAAAATTTGCAATTTTGCAATTCACAAAAAATATTGTTTTGTATATATCAGGAGTGTATAATAGGGATATATATATACTCCTGGGGCCCGTTGCCAGAAAAAAATTAGTCTTAACATTAACCTTAAACTTAAGTTTTTCTCTTAAAGCGTTGCCAAAAACTTCGTAAAGTTAAGAGAATTAAAAATTCTCGTAACTTTTCTCTTAACTTAAGAGATCCTAGACCCTCCCTTAACTTTAATATTAAGGTGATTACGTCACCGTAAATAGTAAA